CCCAGACATTTGAATGTGACAATGGCAAAAATGTATTATGCCAACAGAATTAGGAGACACCTTGAAAAATATTTAAGATTACCATAATTAAATGATATTTCTACTTCGCTTTCCAATTATACCATGTACTGTTCTGCGCACAACATGGAAACAGTATTATAAAGCTATTGTTTCAGTTTGCTTCCTGCGATACTAATCTCAATCAGGTCGTCAGACGAACAGCCCGCATTTCTAAATGTTAAAGGCTTCCTCTCCAACATTCCCACACAGAATTGCCTACTGTGAAAATCAAAGGGAAACGTGTTACTAAGTAAAGCAGCAACTTTTATAAAGCAAAACCTGGTATTTTTTACCCTTTTGAACTCTGAGATATACAACCAGCTATTTCCTATTATGATAGGATACAAGGGCCAAGCTCTCGGACCCTGTGCAACGCCTGCAGGAGACGTGCGCCCTGCGATCCAGAAGCCAGGATTCTTGGAGGCACGTAGCAGGGGAGCTCTCAATGAGGGCTCAGATTTGCGGGTTCTGCCATTCACCTGCTGGAATAATGTGGGCATAGATCTCCCTGGGCCTTGGCTTGCGGTCAGATAAATAATCATTACACAGACGCAGCTAGTAAAACAGCCCGAGTTACACAAGTGAAAAGCGCCATTCCGAGTCACGGAATAATAGGAAGGGGCATGAGACACTCAATGCCAGCAGGCTGAGGCTGGCAAGTTGCCTACAGCCATCTCTGAAATCCCATCTGGAGCATCAGCTTGCAGAAAGCCCGGGAAGAGCTTTGCTCTCTCCACTCCCAGCAAGGCTGCTACGAAACGAGGAGATGGGTTCACATTTGAAAAGCGTGCCCACAAATAGTAATGTAAAATAAAACCTGGTGGACCAGAAGTTTTTGATAGAATAAAAATAACCAAATAAAACCAACAAAAATGCTAATCGAGTGGCACTTTTTTCTTTACTGCCATTTTTCAAGCTGCACTGCAAGCTTATTTTAGTGACATTGTAGATATATATAAACATGCAGTAAAGGTTATTTTAATGTCTTAATTAATGACAGAACAACTATTCCAGATTGATTCCAGCCTACACTAAGTGTCTAGCCCAAATAATCAAAATTATTTCCACGAAGACAACATAACACAAAGTCTGTGGGCTGGGGCAGGCATTTACTTCTAATGTACACTGCAGCTCTCCACTCCCTGGTTCACCTGTCAGACAGTAACCCCCATGCTCCCTGTCAAGTCAAGTCAGGCTCCTCAAATGCAACACAGAATTAATGGCCACATTCCATCCAGACTGCTAAGCATGCATGTGAAATGAGGGCAGCTTCACTTGGGGCTCAGAAAGGTTCTTGAGCACATGGGAGAACAGGGTGCAGACTGGTATCACCACAAACCCAGTGTCCATTTTGCTCCATGCTCTCCTTGAAACATGACGAGAAGCAAACCTCTTCATCTGTGAGCCGAAAGCTGTATCAGAAACCTATTGCTTGGAATTAAATCAGATGTCCTTCCAGTGAATGTCAGTAGCCTTTAAAAAGACTGATATTCTTCAGAAGCCCACCATCAAAGACCTGAATTCTGCTTTCACAAGAATAGTTGTGAAAAACAGCACCTGTCAAGCAACACCTATATTAAGAAACTATTATACAGCAGTAGTGTTAATCAGTCCTGAAAGGCAGTGTTTTGTCAACAAAGCTCACCTGTCAGAAACACATATATTCAATTTTACAGCCTTGCCTCCTGTGAGCAAGAAACAGTTCTCAAACTGATAGAGATTTCCTTTGCCCAGGGCAGCACTCCACATCTGCCAGTCTCAGGGCCCTCAGCAAGTGTGAACCGTTGGGCAGTCACATGAGGAAGAACTAGTACTCTGAAGTCATCATCCTGATAATGATAATGAAAACACTTTGATGACATTTTACTCCAATGCCTGATAAATTTTATCTTTCAAATACTGAGGGCTTAAATTTTCAGCTTTCTAGTTTAGTCATGGGTTTGAGTCTGCTGGGTTTTTCTGTAAAAGTGAGGGTAGACTCGTGGAAAGATTCAAGAGCCTCCCCCACTCCCAGGTAGGAGTTGGACCTGCCTCTGGCCAGGGCCAGGTCAATCAGCGCCTCTGCCATCAAGGTATTTAAGAGGTGACCCCATTGTTCTACCTCTCTTTTGGTCTTGTTTTGAGCTGTCCTGTCCTTCATGTTGGGGAGTTTTTCTGTTAGAGGAGGGGCAGCTGAGAGGAGAACAAAGAGAAGAGACCCAGAGGAGAAGGAGAGGGAGAAGGCTGCCAGAGCAGGACCTTTCCCTGAAGCCCGTGGTGGTTGAGACAGCAGCAAGGTGATTGCCTGACAGCTGAGGGTATCGATGGTGGTGAGAACATCCAGAGCCCCGTGCGAGATGGGAGGGAGACCAAGCATCAGCGAGGGACACACTCAAAGAAATTGCTGGCCCTGAGGGACTCAGGAGGAGGAAGAGGATTGTCTCCTATGAGGTGGACACCACGTGGCATGGAGGAGAGACTGCGAGGAGCCCTCTTTCTCAGGGAGGAGCTACCATGGACAATGAGTAATGGCCAGATGGACTGCACCCTCCACCCCCTGCCCTCCTTGCACTGATGGAGGGGAGGAGGTAGCCGGGAAAGTGGAAGAGGTGGGAGGGTGCGAAATGTATTAAGATCAGGTCGTATTTATTGATGTATTCCTCTCACTATCCTACTTCGTAAATGGTGGTGATGAATTAAATCTATCTTTTTCTCCACAAGTTGCTCTGGTTCTTTACCAGTTATCTTAAATGTTAGATTATTACCCTCCTTATTCTTATTCTCAAACCCTTGAGCATTTTTAGTTGACTTGTCTCCCTTCACATCACTGTGGAAACCGGGGTGGGGGTAAGAGTGAGCTGCAGACCGTGTGTTTTTTTGTCCCAGTCGGCTTGAACCACCACTTGGCTAATTTAAATGTTAGCTATACTCATAAGATTTTAAGTAGCAGATAAGACCTTTACAAGCAAAGACCAGTTTTCTGGCTTGAGTTCTTTCATTTGAGTGTATTCTCATTGTCAAAAAACGATAACCATCTTTTCGAGAAAATCAGTCTCTTTAAAGTACCACAAGTTCAATTTCTCAGCATGTTAGTGCTAAAAATCTTAAAACCTTTATCTACATCTTCAGTATCCACAGATTCAGCAACGGACAAATCTGCATTTGACAAATACACAAATTTTAATGAGACGATTTACTCAATATTTAGACCAGGAAAGCGTGTCAGATTTAAGGCTAAACAAACAACCAACACAAAGCCTGGAATATTAAATCACACCCTGTTGTTATTTTAATGTCTCATTTCGAGATTCCCTTCTAACAGCTGAATCCTGGTGGTACTTCAAGAGAATGTAAAGCAGCTATGTGAATTACATTGCTTTTCAAACACTATCACAGAAGAAACATTATGTAAGTGGATGTATGCATATTATAGGCATATACTGAGTTGTCATCACTATCAAATGACACAAGCATAAACCTTAACACTACATAACCACTAAAACACACATTTTATCTGTAGATTTTTTTCCTCACCAAGAAATTTAAGTTTATTTGAAAAAGTTCACTTTCAACTTAGCAACTTCCAGGTAAGCAAGTGTCTTTCCTGATGTTGATAGCATCAAACTATTTCATGTCAAGTTTCACAGACACACATATTATATCACCTGTTACAGCCCTTCCGAAGTTTGCTTTTCCTATGCTTTGTCAGTCTCTGGTTCATGCCATATAAATATTTGAAAAGCTGAAGTTGAATATTTATGAGAAAACCAAATTGGCTTGGGGTATGGCATGTTTAAGAACATTTACTTCTTCAAGTATTAATTACATGATGAAATCAGAGATGATTTCCAAATGCTGCTCAGCAAATAAATTTTTCAGAGAAGTGTTAAAATCAGATTCTATGAGCTAAGATGAAAATACCCAAATTTTATACAATAATCTTAGCAGAACCAAAAAACACCACCATGAAAAACTACAGAGCACCCAGAAGTGGAAATTACTTTGTCGTATCTTTCAGGCTGCCCAACTCTAAACCAACAGCATACTCTTCCACAAAATGAGATACTTCCCAATACCATTTCTTAAAGTAATTGTTATGCTATGACTCAACTTCTCTGAAGAAAGGAAGTGCAATCGTGACCTTATTGGGAGTTTTGCCATTAATGAAGGGTAAGATGAAATGTTGGGTTTACCTTTCACAAACAATGCAGGCATTGTTTTGTTAACGTATTCTCAACACGTAGAGGTCACTGTGTGAAAGTTCTGCCAGAAACGTGTTTTCATTGGTTGGGCTACTCAGACCGCAGGTTTCCATTAAAGTGATGATTCAAATACAGGCGCAAAATGAGAGTACTGTTAATTTTATCATTTTTCACAGGTTATGAAAATCACGCTGGTTCACATTTCCTGCTAGTCCGACATAAGCAAAACTCTGATTACATAAAATCCATTTACACCAAGTAGTTAAAAGTTGTTTGCTTTAGCTATCTCCATCTACCTCGTCATAAACAACTTACCTATCACTCATTATCAGCTCATTTAGTCCTTTCAGATGAAATACTGGACTTTCAGAACTCCACAGCTGCTTTTTGAGTGCACAGTAACAAATATGCTTGCCACGCCAATTCAAAATTTACTTTTTTCAGAATGGAAGTTTAAGATGAATTATTAAAAGTCTAAAGTCTTGTAACTGAGCTTAATAAAAGACATTCAAGCGTTTTGAGAGTTTTTTTAGAGAGGCAAAACTCCATCAGTTGCTATTTTGGTAATGAAGATCTTCTATGACTAGTATCACTCAAATTTCTCTATTCCAATGAAAATACACATAATTGTGACAAAAAAAACCCCGCACCAACCTATGTTAAAATCTAGTTGTATCCTCACAGCACAAGCGGTTGTGTCCTATTCTCACTTTAGGACACAGTACTTGGAGAAGAACACGGATAATCTTCAAGCCAGATCTTACCTGAAGACAGAAGCTTGTGAGTGCGTAGGAAACTGATTGCCAGGCGCATGATGGACGCCTTGTCCAGGTGGGAACTGATGTTGTGGGGCAGGGGCAGCTCATGTGCCAGTTCGTAGAAAACTTCAGTCTCTTTGCTTCTTCTGCATCTTGCTGCATCTCTCGATTTCTCCTTCCTCCGTTCGGAACTACTCCTAGTAGGTAGAGAAAGGAAAACGCATTTCTTCAAATGCAATTCATGACTGACAAGAGTAAATATTCTCAGCAATGAATCCATTCTGTCAACCCACCAGGCTCTAATGTGTATTTGTTCTTTTTAAAACAGGAATTAGGAGAGGACTGCCACATCTGGAAAGGGCTCTGTTTCTACACAAGTCAGTTTTTGGACACCCTGAATTCTCATGGAGTGTAACAAGACCAAGATCTGCCTTAGGTAAGAGATTCAAAATGAAATAGCAAACTATTGCTCCTGGGATTCAGGAAACATTAAAGATAAAATTGTGTTCATTCAATCTAAATTAATTTACTCAAAAGATACTCTGAGACAAAGTGACAATCCATCTCAAAGCAGTGTGTGTGGTTGTGTCTCAGATATTACAGCGTTGTAGAATTTCAGTGGCTGTACCCAGCATTAAAACAAAATTAATAATTTCTCCATTGTCTATGAAAATAGGTTCCTTCTTGAGTAAAATAACATGACCAATAGAACCAGCCTCCTTTAAACTTTGCAGAGAGCAGATGATCAGGGAATAATAAAGGGGAAGGCATTTTATGAAGCAAGTATGCAAAATTAAGCCACCAAGGAACATAAAGCTAAATTTAACATGCAAGAAACATAAAGGGCTGCATCTATAATGGATCTGGGATACGATAGTTTAAGAGAGAACTTTACCGACTCTAAGGTTCTTTTATAAAGTACAATTCTTATTTCAGAATATGAAGAACCCGAATCCATTCAAAACCCTTACCTATTTCAACCCGATATACTGTTGCTGATACCAGAATTTGCCTTCTCTTGCACAAGCTGAGGTTTTGCACCTCAGCCACACCAGGATACTGACCCACAGTGTATTTCTTTTCAGGCACTCTCCCGTAATACTGTAGCAGTGCAAACAGGAGGGCTTGGATGATGACAGAACAGGGCATGGAGATGACCAACCCCAGCATTTTGCTCCTGTGGCTGCGCAGTCATTTCTAGAATCACCAGTGGCAACTCCCCATTTGCAAGGCTGCCTGAAAACGAAGCATCTTACAATCTTCTTTTTCCAGCGCTGGTATAAAATAGTATAAAATAATGAACTTATAAACTAAAAATTGATCAACCATAAAAAATATAATCATATCAAACCAGGATATTTTGCTACATATATTCTTTCATGAAGATGATGAAGAAAACAAATATTAATTGCATCACTTAATCCTAGAAATTGTTCCAGTCATGACTGGTCTCATACCCCAGTAGGGCTTGTGCGCCACAAAACATCTGAAGCTGAGCATACACTTATGGTCCCTGGTGGGTGTGCTAATATGGCAAGAGGGCCTAATAAATGCTTATGGTATCTTCTCAAGATCCACGATCAGTCCTCGGCAAACCTCTTTCACAATTATTTTGCCTGAGGTCAATATTTTCTAACATGGCATCTGTTACAGGAGGTATGCACAAGATGAGACCTACACACATTTCAGATATGTAACAGCAGGATCCAGCTTTGATAACGACTTCAGGGGCATTGCTGGAACGAAAACTAACCTGCTCCAGTTTGAAACTAAATTATCAGATGTTCACAAGGTGACACCAACTTGTTGCTTTTATCCTTGCCAACTAAAAGTCATGCTACATCCACATAAAAAAAGTGACTCCATACAGATGTCCAAGAAGGTACAGCAGAAAACACCCTGTGTCCTCCTGGGGCTTGGAACAGGAGAGTCATGAGAACTACTGACACCGATGCCTCTTTCAGAGGTACAACCTGCTCTCTAAAGAAAAACGTGTCTACAACGTGCCTATAAAGATGTTAGATGGGGAACAAATCTTCTCAGCTTCTAATTCTACCAACAAAATAAAAGAGTAGAAACAAAACAAAACCAAACAGAACAAAAACTATGCGGTGATATTTGTGAGAATTTCCAATTGCAGCTTGGAAACTTTAACTTGAACCATAAATGTTTGAGCTCTGCTCTAAATCTAGAGCCCATAATTTTCACATTAGAACCAACTTGGGCAAAACATGATCCAATCCCTTCTTGTTTAAATACAAAACTTTGGGAACCAAGGCCAAAGCTGTGTTGCAATTCACGTCGTAAAAACGGGTTGTATAAGACAGGGTCTCTCATGACGCCACTATGGCTACAAAGAAAAATATTTAGTTTTGCTAACCTCTGCAAATATAAATTTGAAAGGTGGCTAATAAGACAAGCTGGTTTCGTTAACCATAGGTTGCTCAAGGTTTCTAATAACTAATGCTATGTGCAGAGAAGGAGGTTTTGTTTGCTCCTCTGCGCCACAGACGCTTTCCCTCGACACTGCTTCTGAGCATTGCGTTCAGTTTCTCTGCAGAGAGAATTCATTTGTTACACGCTGCATGAGAGCTTTTTCTGTCCGAAAACAAGGGGAGGAATCATAGAATTGTCAGGGTTGGAAGGGACTGTAAAGATAATCTGGTTCCAACCCCCTGCCATAGGCAGGGACATCTCCCACTAGATCAGGCTGCTCAGAGCCCCGTCCAGCCTGGCCTTAAAAACTTCCAGGGATGGGGCTTCCATCACCTCTCCGGGCAACCTGTGCCAGTGTCTCACCACCCTCATGGTGAAGAACTTTTTCCTAACGTCCAATCTGAACTGACCCATCTCTTAGTTTTAATTCATTCCCTCTAGTCCTATCACTACCCGACAGCCTAAAAAGCCTCTCCCCAGCTTTCTTGTAGGCCCCCTTGAGATACTGGAAGGCTACAATAAGGTCTCCTTGGAGCCTTCCTTTCTCCAGACTGAGCAATCCCAACTCTCTCAGATGCTCTAGCATGTCCATATCTTTCTTGTACTGTGGGCTCCAGAACTGGAATCAGCCTGTTGCTTTAAGAAGACCTTCTTGCTCACCCATTATCATTTTAAATAAACAATTTGCTTGTTGAGCATTTCCCCTTGTAGCTTCCCCACCTCAATTTTCCTCCCCTTCTTCCCTCCCTCAGCACACCCTCACATTGTGTGTTATCATAGCCAGCCCAGCACAAGCCCACCAAGGCCCAAAACAGCCCCGTGCCCCCCATGCAGCTTCTCCCCCCGCCTGCCACAGGCAGAGACCCAACCCTTGCTGTCCCTCCCGGGAACACCCATGTCGGCAATGGTCATTTGTGCTTACTCGTCTCGCTTGCAAAAGCCTCTGAAAATTGCAGTTGAGTGACAGAATTCTGCAAAAAGTAGTATTTCCGTAATTTTTTTTTTTTTTTTTTTGTGGATGGCAGGGCATTAAGTCTCTCTGCAGTTACCACTGGTTTATGTCCAGGATTAGCATTTTAACCCTGGGTGAGCTTGCACTGCCCGCAGCTAGAGAGTGAAAACATAACCACTCCACAGCCTGCCCGCTCGGAGGCCAGGAATCCTCTTCACACATTGTTAGGGTGATAGAGAAAAGGCCCAGGCTCTAGTTAATTTATGAATCATCCCCTCCCAGCACAGAAACCACCCACTTATGTGGCAAAAAAAAAAAGAGCACGTGTGTGCGTCACTTTGTGGAGAAAGTGACGCAAGCAGACGCGGAACCCTCACTCACCCAAACCTGTGCTGGATGGTTAAAAACGCAGAGGGGGAGAGAGAGGAGAAAGCCACCACAAATCAAGCCACCCCTACGCTGGTGCAAGGCCTGGAAGGGGAAGCCTCCTGGGAGCTCCTCCACACTCGGTCCTTCAGGAGTCCTGGGATTCGTCAGGGTAAGACCCCACCTGGTCACCTGCCCACCCTCACATCACAGTCACAGCACGACCGTTCCCGGTAGAATGACAAGAAAGGAATGGAAAAGCTCAAATCTCTGTTGGAAATGGGGAGACTGAGCTAAGGAGCGGGCCTGAGGGCTCCATCCAGGACTCGGTTATGCTGAGGGTGGTGAAGGAGAAGGAAAAGGAAGGCACCGCTTCCCAGCAAGGACTCCCTCAGGGCTGCTGGGTGATGCTCTGGGGCCTCAGCACTTGCACACACACAAACCACAAGGAATGGAAGAGTTAAGGCAGTGCAGGCAGTTCCCCACTACAGAACATAAATATGACACTGTACCCCCAAGGATAGCTGTTTACACCCTTTTCCACTCCCTCCTGGCGCATTTAGTTTGTCCTCTGAAAATAGAATTTACAGGCAAGTGTATACGAGCAAAGATGACAAACCATGGGCAAGTATTTGCCCTCTTGGGTGAAGCACACAAATTTTCAGGAGCAGAAGCTCTCCACAATTCTCCCAAGAATCCACACAACAAACCAATTCCAAGGGTACAGCCACACATGGGAACAGAGCACATGATCCCTCCTCTGCCTTCCACCCTCTGCCTGAAGGGTCTGAAAGGGTGTAGGAATGCCCTGCACAGATCCCGGGAGCCAGATTCCTATCCCCTTGCTCAGCTCCAACAGCCCCTTGCAACACAGCTTCACTGAAATTGTTGGGAATGCTGCAGACAAAGGTCTTGCACACCCGAAGCAAAGATCATAATCTGACTTTCTGAAGCCTCTCTTACTGCAGGGCTGGAAGCTCCAGCAACTTACAGGTAAACCCTGAAGCCCCACATAACCGATCTGGCTTAAATAACCTTGCAAAACCATCGTGTCAGCTTAGGGAGCGTCTTCCTGGCGCTTACTGCTGCAGTGGCTCCAGACACCGGCAGCTGGCAGAAATGTTATGGCAGCCAGCCCAGGCTGGGGCTGTGCTGTTGTTACTGCCCTGCCTGGGCACCTGCAGAAGGTGCCTGTGACCCAAACACAGCAGGGGATAAGACCACAAACACTGGGGCAAACAAACACCTACCCCCTGTAAGCACCGGAGTTTACATGCAGGCACACAGCACCACTCACCGCTACGAAGTAGGGTCAGGTACCCGCCACAACCCTCCTCGACCTAGCAGATGAAGGACTGGCCTGAGGTTTTAGACTCATTTCCACCGACGGTCACCACGCTCACTCTCTGCAGTCTCAATCCTGTCACTATTAATCCGTGCCCA